AACTAAAAAAATGAAATGATGAACGAAGCAAAGTGCCGACTACACCAAGCATCTTCTTGTTTCCTCTGATCGTAAAAAAAGAGAGTGGGGAGGGGAGTGAGATGAGAGGGGAGAGGTAGGAGAGTTTGTAGAGGGGAGAAGGTGACTGTGCCACCTTGGATTCTAGGAATGGATTGGGAGCTGGTGGAGGGTATTTATTTATATCTGTGGATACGGGCTAAGAAGTCACATTTATACGCAGACGTAGACACACCAAGGCACATGTACACGAAGACACAGATGTAGACACAAGACACATCGATGGACCCAAAGGGTTTTTCTGATTTGGCAAAACAAAATAAACTCACTGCAGACACACGAAGAGCCTCGCAAAGACAAACGCAGGAACGCACACACACACACAGAGGCCACCGCGTGCAGTAGGGTCAGAGCCAAACACAACCCGGAACCCTGGGCCAACGTTCATAACAAAAACTTCATGGCCAGGGACAACGACGCAGAGACGCGAGGAGGAACCGCAGACAAGCTTCCCGGCAGTCGCGTGGTGCGCCGGCACCAATGACTGCCCAAGCTCTGCGGTCCTCTATATATTCAGGTGTTACCGGCCAATTAATTAATATTTATATGTGGGATGAAATTGGATCGCCCGGAGAAAACCCAAGCGTGCGGAACAAATGGAGTCCACATTTTTGCTGTACTACCTTCTAGCCTCCTCTTCGATGCGCCTTGCCGAGTCTCAAGACTCCACTAAGGAGGCTCCCGCATTGGGATGCTTGGCTTACGCCCATTGATGAGAGTTTAAAACGTGGGAGCCGGCATAACGTGGAGAATACCCCACGAACGCGAGGGAGTAAAGCCCTCGGCCCAGACGCGGTTACAAACGCCACCGCTCTCCGGCTCCCGACGCACGCGCGCATCCAGGTGACGGAATCAACGGATGCACGCACACCCCACGTGGCTTTCCCCGGGAAACTCTCCAATTTTTTCAGTTGAAAATAAACAAATCCATACGGGGGCCGCTAGGGCCCGCATCCCGGCTCAGGCCGCCCGCCGACACGGTGAGTCTGTGCGGGGGCGGAGTTTACGTAAACGCATCACCGGACTCAACGAAACGGCTCATCGTGTGAAAATGAACCTTATGGCGGGACCCCGGGGTCTCGAATAAACGGAGGTCAAAATCGTAATTAATTTATTTTTGGTGACTCCGTCCCACCACGCACATAAACGCCGCGACCCACCTGGCGCGGATCGTTCTGTTTTCGTGTCGTCCAAGCACAGCAGCGAGGACGAATGCGCACAAGAACTGAACAAGCGAATGCACTCCATGCTCGGGTATGGGCAGGATCATAACAAGTCTTATCCAAAGCTGCTCAAACTGCCTACACGACTTGAGTCCTTTATTTGTCATAATAGTATGCATAATGCAGTGAAACTGCTCTCTTATCTTCATTATTATTTGTGACCTTTTTTGGATTTAAAGCTGTCGTGACTGCAGGGATTCATCTTCTTGGTTCTTTCGGTAAAGTGTTGTGGCCGAAACGTCGTGAGAATTTTATTTGATTATGTTTTATTTTTATTATTTTATTATTTCCCTTCTACGTGACTTTACCGAAAGAACCAAGAAGATATTTGTGACCTACCAATGTCTGCAGCCAGGATCAATCGATGACAATCCTATTACCTGCAGATATTTAACAGATGAGATGCGTTTCACCGTTAATTCCTCCTGTTTGATAATACTTCTCTTGTCCGTATGCATCTGTGCAGATTTTTTTGCGGTTAAGCCATAGTCCCCACATACCGCTCGTATCAATGCGGATAAGAAGAGCGGCGACCGACTTCTCTGTAGAGTAACATTGATATAAACGCTTGTTACAATATGAACAGCGCATTGAAAACGCGTACTATGTTACGCACTGTTTACAAAGTGTGTTCACAAATCCACACTGAGAAACACGATGATTGACAGAGGGGTGTAAATTATTTTTTCAATAGTGTATTTAAATAGAGGTACTGCAGGTAAGTAGTTCAATTATAAAGGCATAGTTTAACAAGACAACACTTGCCACCATCCTTCAAACCCATTGGTTAAAAAGAGCAACGTTTTTGTTTACATTATAATATATTGTTTATGCGAGAGCCGGGGCTTATGGGACCCCGGGGTCCAGCCATAAGGTTCAAATGTATAGCAGCAATACCGGAGGATCTATGTGACCACCGGGAGAACATGCAAGCTCCAAATATATAGGAGTCAGGGTCGGGATCGAACCCACAACCTCCTGTAATCCAAGCGAGGTAGTTAGCATCTCCTAGTCACTTGGCATCATCTCCTCCTTCACAGACACCAGTCACATTATTGCTATTGTCGTTACGCTTGTTTACACTGAGATGCCTCAAGACTCTTCTTCAGGAGGATCCTGCTAAGTTTTTACAGTAAGGGGGGAGGGGGGGGCAACGATTGCTGCTGTCGTCTATCCCAATTGATTAATCTGCGGTGGAGAATTTTTTTTGACAAATTGTGAGTGACGCCTGCCACTCTTCTTCGAATTACTTCGCGGGATCTTTGACGTCCACGGCGAGTGAAGCAGAGGGCACGTTCTCGCGTGCTCTTTACGGTTACCGCCGCTGTAAGAGGCAGTTAGAGCCTAATTAGCAGATAATCGGTGGCCTCGGCCTGCGGCGGCTCAGCGGGCTGGGCCATGGTTTGTGGGGGCGTGCGGGGAGGGGGCGGGGTGGGCGCGTGGTAGCGGCGCGATGAGCAGGGAGGGCACCGCATTGCGGCCCCCGATAGCGCCGCCCCCGCCCCCGCTGGACCCCAGCGGCCGCGTGGAAGCGTTTCGGGAGAGATAAGCCCGCCCTTGCGGCCACCGTGCGTGGGAAGGTGGATTGTGGGTAGTGGTGGCGGCGGGACGTGGGGGACCGTGTGGGAACGAGCCGCAGCGCCCACCACCCACCGCCCCCGCGCTCATCCCGGCCGCACGGACGCGATCCCCGTCGTGGCGTCTTCACGCCCTGCCATTTGCCGCTTTGTTTACCCGGCAAAGCCTCGTCGAGTCTCAAGACGCTCTCTCGCGAGGGTCCTGCTCTTTCACAGCAGGGAGAGGGGAGCGGCGATCGCTGCTCCGCGTGATTCCAGAGTCAATGATTTTCGAGTGATTTTACTAAATGTGGCCAATTTGAGACCACGACGCCGGCGTGCAATGGCTCACTACTCTCCTTCGAATAACGTCGCGGTATCGGCTGTCTGAGCAAAGCAGGCGGCACGTGGTATGGCACGGTTATTAACGAGGCCCGCTGCATTCAAACTGCAGATCCTCTGGAAAACCAGCGGCGGAACGAGCTCCCCGCTGGTCCACCGCACCGACTCGTGCGGAAGGTCCCCACCGCCACCTCCGACACGCTCTATTTACCTATTTTTATTTTGCCAGGTAAGGTACCACTGAGCTATATGGCTCTTTTTGGAAGGGATCTGGCCATCACAAATGATAGCTCTACGAAGTGGCTTATTATTTGGAAATTTATAGCAGCCAAATATTCTGTAATCGCACTTTGATGCTAAATGTGGAGGGAAAAACCAGAGGAACCTGAGAAAAATCCACATGACCACGGGAAGAGAGAGAACATGCAAACTCCAAATATACAGGCATCATGATCGAACCCACGACCTCCTGTATACCAGATGAGGTAGTTAACATCTCGCCACTGTGGCACCCTTGCTACCCCTGCACCGTAAACCAGGCCTCCTCTCTGCTCCAGTTACCCCGGGCCTTCTGCTGTGGGCTACGGTCGGCCTCCGCAGTCCAAAGCCGTCGCGTGGGATCAACCTCCCCGCTTGGCCATCGACCACACGGCCGAGACGCATTCCCTGGCTGTCCGAGCCCGGGCTCCGGACCTCTGTGAAGGGACCAAGTCCCACAGCCTCCTCTGTGCCGCTACCCCCTCCCTGCTCTCTGAAGTCAGAGTGATTTGCTGTTCAAACGAGCGTTGAGGCATCGGTGCTAAACTCCTGTTTTACAGCCCCTGAGCCAGTGGTGGAAATTCCACATTCCTGTGGTGGGGAGGCCGGTCTATACATAAAGACAACCGCTGATGATTTCCGCCACAAATTGGTACTCATTCTATGGACCCCGTGAGGAGGGATGATGGGCTGAGTCAACCCCTCCAACCGAGAATGGAACACGTGGTCCATGGACCCGAGGGGTCTGCAAGGTCATGGGGAAGTGGTCGGCTGTGTATGCTGTGATCTGGAGCAGCCTTAACGTTGAATAACGCATGTTGGTGATGCAGTGGTGTGCACAAGCTCAGCCAACAACAACACACTCATCACGTACGCCAATAATAATGACACCCGCGTGTGCGTGGGCCGAAAGGAGAAATATATCATAGGCGGCATTTCAGGCAATGCCTTTTCTTCACAGCTATTCACGAGGCCTGTAATCCAGCGCTGTGGGGAGGCAGTGAGGGTTGGTGGATCACCACATGCCAGTGTTGCAAAACTCCCCGTGGCCGTTGAGGCGCATGGAGCGTGTTTGATGAACAGCGCTGGCGTCGTACAGCTTTTTTAGATTTAACAGCGACGTTGGGTGAAGTGCCAAACATTTGAATCCGCAGACAAAACGTGCTTACGCGACATTGTTAACCGATACACAGAGCAACTTTCGTGTGTGTTGACTGTGTGTGATATTCATCCCGTAAACGCATAGTGCTGTGTAAGTTATAGATGTTAAATGTTTGTGCACATCTCACTACGTGTTGGCCACACATGTGTGGGGTTCCCAACAGTCTGGGAGTTGGCCACCTGTGTGCAGTTGACAGGATTTGATTTGTGCCGTTGCTGTATTTAACTTCACTGCAGGAGACTGCACTGTTTTGACAATAGGCCCAGTGCTGACTGAGAAATACGTATGGGTTTGGTTTACAGTAGAAAAAGAGTGGCCACCTATTTTTGTGTGTGCTCGCATGCGTCTGCGTGTGCCGGTGTGTGCTGGTGTGCCACTCACACGTCACTCTTGGACGTGTACACGCTGTAGTTCAGCGACTCGATGGCCATCCATCGCACGGGCAGCCGCCCCTGGTGAGAACGAGGAGAGAGACACAGAAGAGGAGTGAGTGAGTGAGCGAGCGAGTGAGCGAGCGAGCCGATGCCATCGCACCCAGTGCCAACGTACCGCCACAGTAGAGGAGCGCCCACCACACAACATACGGCAACCACCACCACACGGGACCACCACCACCACACAACACACGGCACCACCACCACCACACAACACGCAGCAACACCACCACCACCACCACACGGCACCACCACACAACACGCGTCACCACCACCACACAACACACGGCGCCACCACCACCACACAACACACGGCGCCACCACCACCACACAACACACGGCAACCACCACCAGACGGGACCACCACCACCACACGGCACCACCACACAACACGCGTCACCACCACCACACAACACACGGCACCACCACACAACACACGGCACCACCACCGCCAGGTTCCACACATGGCACCACCACCACCAGACCCCGCACACGGCACCACCATCAATCACGTCGTCGCGCGACCTTCACTTGTCTCTGTACTGTTTGTGGGAATCCTGCCCAGAGTCTCCTGATTCTGTTCTGGCGGCAGCAAAGATGCTCAGGATCGCAAAATGGCAATGTTGAGGTCTGCTAGTCGCAACGATAGGGCCAACGATTGATCTGCTGTGGATTGTGTCTTCAATTGTCCATGTATGAAGGGGATGTGCTACATCGGCCTGTAGATGTAATTGATGGTCACACCACCAGTGTCTTCTAGGAAAAATGTCAAAGCTAGGAGGTGTGATGATGCTTGGGTCTTGAACAAGGAGGTGTTTATTATTCTGTACGTCCACATTGTTCCACTCTGTTCGCCAGCAGTGTTCCTCCCAATCTGGGGTGAGATTCTAGGATGGTGACAGCAGCAGCAGTCATGGCGCCATCCCAGAAGAGGGACTGAGACTTGAGTCAGTGGCGAGGAGCATTATTGAGGTCTCGGTTGATGGGTGAATGTGGTTATTGTTGGCCAGAAAATGTGAAAACTCCTTTGCAGTTTGCGCAATATTTTGTGGCAGAATGTTCACCAGAACAGGGACCCAGGGGATTTGGTGTCGGATTCAGTCTGTGAATGATTTACCTACTCAGACACTAAGTAAAGGAATAGAATATTGCTACAATGATCGTTTGCATCTGTGGGTATGGGAAGACGCAACCCAAAGTAGATGGCTCTCACCTTGTTCGATGCATACTCGGAGTTGTGCGTTCAGAGTGTGAAGCCTCGATAGTGATTGAACACAAAGACTTTTAAACACACAGCACGACAGCACTGTGGTGACATCGCCGCTCTGACATTGAATGTCATCGCAACTCAGCACATTCCGTGTGAACACTAACGCCGTCCACGGCCTTGCAAAGAGAATACATAGAGGTTTTGGGCAACAGTCTGTCTTCAGAGCACATGAATCAACATTGAATCATGAATGAATCGTCTATCTTCGATGAAGGCCATTGTTTGAAACGTCGCGTATTATAAATGAGTTATTTTTAAAGGCCACGCACAGTGTTATCATTGACGTGGAGCATGTTGAGTTGTTGTTTGTGCTTGTACATCACTGCCAAGACAGCAGCAGCATCACCAGACAACTTAGTAAAATATATGGTAGTGAGGATGATGATGATGTCACGGTGATGTCACTGGCGGACCAAGAAGACGTTCTTGACCATAATTTTTTGTCTTTTTTTTACATGGACGACCGCTCACGTGTGCATGTCCGGGTTTTAATCCGGGCTGGAGCCGCTCGCCATGAAGCCAGCTTCTCAAGTGCCCGGCCACAAACGAACGCTCGCAAACAAGCACGACCATCGAGCTTCTCAATTGATTTGGCAAAATGCCACAGCTCTGAGAATAAAAAAAACGTCGTCTTCATTGTCACGGGATGGACATTTCCCTGCAGCAGGGCACGCGAGACAATGCAGCCCCCTCGTGTGTGGGCCAGAGGTCGCCGGAAGGGATCACGGAGGTACTTCCTCTGCGACGTCTTCCCGCGAGCCGCGAGTGCGCCGCCTGACATCCAGTTTGACCTTTCCTCCAGCTGGCGTAACCGCGAATGCTTTTGCACAGTAATTTGTCTCGAACAAACTTTTGCGACAGCAAGAAAATGCACTTTGTTGAATCATTGCTTTGGGTGCGTATGTGTGCGTGTGTGCGCGAGCACTATTGGATCCTTTGTAGAGCGGGTTGTTTTTTTTTGCTCCGATTTCTTTCCGTTTGTACCCACCATGGTCTTTTTCACATAGACCTCCTCGCCGCGCGACAGCCCGAAGTCGGCGATCTTCGCCACGTAGTTTTCCGCCACCAGGATGTTTCGAGCGGCCAGGTCTCGGTGAATAAACTGGTAATGGCAAAGAGAAAAAGATCCAGCTCCCATGTCAGCCTTTAACAGACTCTTCGGGGGCTAGCACTGTCAGCAAGATGCCTACGAACGCTGATACGGCGCACAAGGTGGGGTGGGTGGACTCAGCACCACTTTCCCGGCTGCCTTTGTCTCCCCAATGTCGATGTTTGCACACCATACCAGGAACAGTAGGACCACTGTTAACGACGGTAATTGGTTCCATGAAACCAGTCGATAAGTGACTTGGTCGTTAAGCGAGTATAGGTCGGAATGGAATCCATGACCTCCTGCATACCAGGCGAGGTAGTTAACATCTTGCCACTGCGGCACCTCACACAAACCTGACACCAAGATAGATCCCCCCCCCCCCATATAGCTTTGAACACACACACACTGGACACACGCCGGACCTGCTTCTCGCTCAGGTACTGCATGCCCTTGGCGACGTCCGCCGCGAATTGAAGCAGTTGCTGTGAGGAGAGCGTGGAGGCCGTGCCGTGCTCCTTGGCGAACGCCGGGTCCGTCTCCAGCACCCTGCTCTTGCGAAGGAAGTCCAGCAGGTTCCCGAACGCCGCAAACTCTATCGCGATGTACAGGTACCCTACGCCGACCGGTCGGGGGGGTCAGGTGCGGGAGCCACAAAGATTCTGCCCACATCCCCTCCGCTCCCCCTCCACAGCGTAGCCAACCGCGCTAATCGCGCCTCCGATTAGCGTGGTTGGCTACATACGGCGTGAAAGAAGTTCAACATGCATACATACGACTAGTGCCGGATAAAGCTAGTGCGGGGCCTGTAGCATATGTAACAAAGGGGCCCTAAATTTAAAAAAGCACACAAATATTAAAACACTAATTTTTTACTTGCATAGTAAATACTCTTTGGGTCTTTCACTAAAGTCACGTAGATAGAAAAATAATTAAATAACAAATCACGACGTTTCGATCGCAACACAAGCAATCGTCTTCAGGTGAAAAAATACAGCAGGCAGATTGCTGAGGCAGGAATAAATGTATCGAGAGAGCTACTGCAGCCAAAGATTGTATAGGTTTGAGATAGGAACAACCCAAGGGTAAGTGGGCGGGGCTAGAGATGGAAGTAAATGTAAGATCGCAGAGCTTGGAATACCTAGGCCATTGTGTTGCTAGAGATTAGCATGTCAATGTGTTAATGTAACCCCACAGTGACGATGCTGAAGAAGCGGCCATTGTATTGCTCGAGATTAGAGATTGGCATGTCAATGTGTTAATGTAACCCCACGACTACGGTGCTGAAGAAGCCACTGTATTGCTCGAGATGAAAGATTAGCGTGTCAATGTGTTAATGTAACCCCACGGTGACGGTGCTGAAGAAGCCACTGTATTGCTCGAGATTAGAGATTAGCATGTCAATGTGTTAATGTGACCCCATGGCTACAGTGCTGAAGAAGCCACTGTATTGCTCGAGATTAGAGATTAGCATGTAAATGTGTTAATGTAACCCCACGGTGACGGTGCTGAAGAAGCCACTGTATTGCTCGAGATTAGAGATTAGCATGTCAATGTGTTAATGTGACCCCATGGCTACAGTGCTGAAGAAGCCACTGTATTGCTCGAGATTAGAGATTAGCATGTAAATGTGTTAATGTAACCTCACGGTGACGGTGCTGAAGAAGCGGCCATTGTATTGCTCGAGATTAGAGATGAGCATGTCAATGTTAGATGACTCCCGCAGCAGCGGCTGTGTCAATGAGAGACATTCAACCTATTAAACAACGAGCACCACCGCCGCATCGAGGAAAGGGAAGCAGCAGCTATGTTAGTGAGACATTTAGCTTGTTAATGTAAAGACATTTAACAAGGTAATGTAACTCAGAGAGTTAGAAATAACTGCTAACATAGGCAGGTAGGATGGAAGCATCACAGCCAGTTATGACTTTACCTGGTTAATAGCATCCTTCCAATGATTGCTCAGTTTGTACCCATCTGCTCTGTTGAAATTGTGTCTGTGTCTATATATCTGAATGGCTTCATGAACAAATCTTTGTTGATAGCCAGTGGGTTTGCATAGTACCTTCGTCTTCGAGAAATAAATTTCACGTGTGCCCACGGCGTTAAGACAATGATCAGCCATGGCAGAGGTGTTGGTCCTACCGTGTTTCATAGTAAATTGTATTTTTTTAATTTGCTATACGGCCACATAATGCGAGAAATCGCTAACCTTAAACACCCCCTCGTTCATAAAAGTTGAAGGCGGTATATTACTATAGTAATAGAGCAAGTGCATAATCACTGAACCGGCATTGATAGCTTGAAAGCATTTAGTGCGGGGCCCTTGAAATTGCGGGGCCCGTAGCTACTACATAGCTACTACATGTAGCGTGGGGGCCCTTGAAAGTATATATACCTACTACACATATGTAGCTACTTTTGCTACGATGATAATCCGGCACTGCGTAGAACCCGACTGTTGTGTCCATTGGCAAGGGGTAGGCCTGCATCGAGGGTGGAGCCTGCGGCTTGCCTAGATTTCCTGACTGGGTCAACTGCCACCGACTCGGCGGAAGAAGATGAAGACCACACAGGCTGCCGGGGTTTGAGTGCTGTTAGCGAGTAGCACCTCTAAAGGCTGGCACGGCACGGGTGGGTAGCCAGAATGACGCCCGGCCCACTTTGTCTCACCACTGCTGATGTTTACGCACCGCACCAGGTACACATCTAAGGCCGAGTCGACCTAGGGGTGGCCCGGGACCGGTTCAAAAATTCGCCACTGTCCTTGGCCATAAGTAGGAATTGAACTCGGGTCGCAGGGTTCGTAATGCATCGCGCTTACCACGAACTCCTCCACCCCAGTGAGACATTCACGACCGCTCAAAAACACGCGTGGCCCGCTTCAGTGGCGCCCACCACCGCGCCAAGGTAGCACGCCACTCGCTCCACGACAGCTGCTCACGCTGCGCGAGTTTTAAATCAAGAGGCTTCAATGGGCCGAGACTGGCGGCGTAGTCGTCGTCGTGAGCTGTGTGTGGGAGATCGTTCCGCGTTGAAGCAGCGGCCTCCTCCCGTGCCTGAGCGAGAGGGAGCGCCTGCTCGGGTCGCAAAGTTGTTGTGAGTTTGGGACCGGAAGAGTTTAACCGCACCGAGTCGAGAGCCTCTGTGGTGTTTACGGGGGGTGAGGCAGGGATAGCGAGCGATGCTGATAACACGACGATGTTGTTGTTGCGGCTGTCATTTTTGCAAAAAAAGAAATCTGAAAAAGAAGAAAATGTTTTTTCCCTTCCCGGCAAAAACACAAGAGGAGGTGTTAAGATGTCAAAACAAGCAGACACACCTATTATTACAAGGCATCACATTCTGCATTAACCACACATGCTTGTGGTCAAAACATGCAAACACATCTAATTAATTGTCGTAGCAAAACGGGTCCCGAAGATAAAACTACTTAAACCCGAGCTACTCATGATTTGCCATTGGCATCGTCCTTGTTGTGCTGTTTACCTTTTGGCATTCTTTTGATCCTGAGCACCGGTGAGACAGACCCATGAAGCCGACTGTCTCAGTTTCAAAGACAAAGCATGCATTACCAAAGCATGCGTTTGCATGTTTACCACAAGTATGTGCAGTTAATGCAGACTTGATGCCTAGTAACATGTGTCCAGTCAACGGAGATGGTTACCGCACCGCGCGTTTTCAGATGCGCTTCTGCGGCCGTCTGGAACGCTCTTCTTTCCGATATGAGGAAGCCACTAGAGCAGTGCACTTTTAAATTGAGATTGAAAGATTATTTCTATGAAGCTGATTTTTGTGTTTAGTTTATTGTCCTTCCCCCGCCCCCCCCCCACGCACCTCCGATTAGCATAGTTAGCTATGTACGGTATAAAAGTAGTTCAACACATACGTAAACATTGGATTTATTGACATTTTAACACCTCTTGTATTATTGTCAGAAATTAGTAAACAGCCTTTTCTTTCTTTTTATCGACTTAATAGTGGCATTAAGAGACCCGTAGATGTCCGTTGTTGTTTGTTGTTGTTCTTGGCCACAACGACCGTGGCTGGCGGGATGGGCAGCACGGTGTGCGTGGGAGTCCTGCGGCACGCTCGGCAGCAGCCGCAGGAGGAGGCGGCGGCGCTCTGCGGTGCCAGCCGCAAGCAGCGATTGCGTGGCTGTTGCTCTGGGTGGGTGGAGCGACTGCGAGCTACTGCGTGGCTGTTGCTCTGGGCGGGTGGAGCGATTGCGTGGCTGTTGCCCTGGGCGGGTGGAGCGACTGCGATTGCGATTGCGCGTGCGTATCCGACGCGGCTGTTCTTGGGGCTTTTTTGGCCGCGTGGCTAAAACCGCCCGGCCGCCCACGCACATTCTGTGCTTTTAAAACACGCTTGTGGTTATTTATTGTTTTTGGTTAAATCTCCGATTGATTGGGCGGCTCTCCAAAAGCGTCCGAAACCGAATCCCTCCCCCCCCCCCCGCCCCACACATTTGCGAGGGACGGAATCCGGCTCCGATCGGCGGAGATGATGCCCAGCAGGAGGCAGCGGCGTGTTTTACCTCTGTGCTCGCAGGCACCGATGAGGTTGATGATGTTGGGATGGTGCCCGAGCTTGCACAAGACCTCGAGCTCTCCCGCGAAATCTCGGTGGTCATCTTCAGATGCGAACTCTGTTGTGGAGGCGTTTGTCAAAAGCGCGGTATTAAAACACCGACGGCGTTCGTTGTCGAACGTGAAAACGGGGAAAGGCGAAACCTGTGTGGATTCGTGCTCGAAGGATAAATCTCGTAATCCGTCAGGTTCTGTCCCCCTGATTCACAGGCCTGAGTCACAATGCAAATTCCACATTCCTATGGCAGGGGGTAAATCTATACCACGATGGGACAGCGGCTGTTGACTTTTCCGTAATGTGGTAACCTACTGGATCATTGGGCCGATGAATGGCAATCCGATTGGACAAAACCGACAAGGATTTGAACTCGCAACCTCACGATTGCGGCGATGCAAATCTCACCACCTCACCGTGGCACAACTGTGCAGACTTAGGTTTAGCAACGCCTAACATTACAACATCTTGCAATACCGTGCAACATACACTGCACAGTATCGTACATCGCACAATACCCTCCAAGATCATACAGTATCGTACAATATCGTGCATTGTACAGCGTCGTTCAACGTCGTACAACATTGGGCAATATCACACAGCAACGTAGATTGTGCAACATCGTACAATATCATCGTACATTGTACAACATCAAACAATATTGTACATTGTACAGTATCATACAGTATGGCACGTTGTACGGTGTCGTACATCGTACACTGTACATGATACAGTATCGTACAACACCATGAAGTATAGTACAATACTGCACATCGTAGAATATTGTACATCATACAGTATCGTACATCGCACACTTTCCTACATCATACAAAGCGCACAGCATCATACATCAGCGTGCAATATCATAACGTCGTACAACGTCGTGCAGTACGGCACAACATCGTCCAACGTTGTGCAGCATCGTACATCAACAAACGATTCTTCACGCAGCCCAAGAGTGCCCCGGGGTGGGCGATTCCGCCCGCCCGCCCACCTTTGAGCATCTTGATGGCGACGTTGATCTTCGTGCCGTCCTTCTTCACCAGCGCCTTGATCACCTGCCCGAAGTTGCCCTCGCCAATCATGTCCTCGAACTTGATGTCGTCCCAGTCGAGCACGGGGTAGCTGATGGGCTCTGGGGGGGGCTTGGGTCGGCGGCTCAGGGTCAGCGTTCCCGACGCAAACTGCACGACCGGCTCGTCCCGCTGGGCACGGTGGTGGGGAGGGGTGGGGGTGGCAGTGGCACCGGGGGGGGGGGGGGTCTCACGGTTCACGTTCATTTTGTGTAATTGGGCGAGGGGCTCGGCGGGCGAGGGGCTCAGCGGGAGAGGCTCGAGGATCGAGTTTAATTTCGCGAGAGCAGTCGACCTTCTCGTGAGTTTGGGGGGGTGGGGGTGGGGGTGGCGGTGGGCACCGAAATCGCAAAAGGTGCTCCACGATGTCAAATAAAGCGCAGAGGGCAAAGAAAGTTTTAAAGGAGCGCAAAAGATGACCCGCGATAAAAAAGCCGATCGACCGGAAATCAGAACAGAAGCATGCAAAGAGAAGCCAGCGCCGAAAAACAACTGGATAGAATCGGCGAAAAAACTATCGAGTATAAACGAGAGCAAAAACAACCATACATCGACGTTGATTTAAATAGCTTTCATCAGGTGAGGAGAAACCAGGCAATTATCGTGGCAGTAATAACTCAAATGATGGCCTAGATTTACCCATAAAGGCCTCGCGGTGCATCTGAAGAGCCCTTTAGAAGGGTGCTGCTACATTGGGATGGTTGGGCAATCCCCTGAGTGGAAAGCTGGGGCTTCGCGAGGCTTGCCCTTACTCCGCATACACGAAGGGACAACAACACTCCAAAGATCCACAAGGGATAGATTCAAGAAACATTTGTTACATATCGCCAATGTCTCGATGAGGTCACAACCCAATTGGTTGTGCTGTCAGCATCGCGTCAGGATCCTTTCAGATCTGCCGCAGTGTTAGAGAGCGGCCCACAGATGTTCAAATTCTACTCTGTTCTTGCGTACCATGGCAATGTGTTTGTGAGCTAAATGGCAATGATGAGATTTGATAGCCACAAGAGGGCTTCAGGAGAGAGCTGGTGCAGTTTTGCTACTCCTCCCTTGAAGGAGCACAGGCTCAAGTTATTTACCATATAGTCCATAGTTTAGGTCGAGTGGTCACAATCGCAATACTGAGTAGTGTCTTAAATTCTCCATTCATGAATGAGATGTGCGCATCGGCCTGTAGATGGTTATGACGCGGTGGATGGTTCCACTGATGTCTTCAAGGAGGAATTTCAAAGCCAGGTGGTTCCATGTTCGGGTCTCGAATGAGTGGTTTATTATTCTGGACGTCTGCGTTATTCCACTATGTGCGCCAGCGTTCTTCTTGAAAAGCCTTAGCGAAATAATAAATAATTGCGTTATTCAATTGTGGATCTTTGCAGTTTTGTGTACAAGCTACCGGACCAGGCTGGGGCGCAGCGACTCTGCTACTGAGCAGATGAGTGAGAGAGCGGCAGTCTCCAACACATCAGCTGAGGCACCCCAGAGGTTGTTCCTGGAAGATTCTGCAGCAGAGCAATTCTTGAGTTGGTCTTTTCACAGGTCTGTTTTATGTGGGGCTTGAAGGTCAGGCTTTCTATCCATGATAAACCCTAGATGTGTTTGTGTAGGGTCATAGGTGCACTGGGCTACCACAGAAGGGCACGTCAAGGAGTGGCATCTGCTGCATGATCTACTGATTGTGGCCAACTTCGGCAGCAGGCCATGACACCAAACGGTGTCACCAGCAGCAGAGAGGTCACTCGTTGCTGTGCCGGTTTTCTGTTGACGCTGCAAACCGGTTTTAATGAGAGTCTTGCGGCTTTCCGGGTTTTAGAATGGCGATGGCTTTGGCTTCCTTCCATGCTGTCATTTCATCTCTGCCTGTCCTGTCTACGCCAGTGAAGAAGTTTGCAAGCCATTGTTGTCCGTGGCTGCTATAAATGTCCATGTGATAAGCCACATCGTTGGGCTATCATTTGTGGCTAGGTCGCATCTGAAAAGGAAGCTAATAGCTCAGTGGGCTTTACCTGGTAAAATAAAACAGTTTAGTTTTATTTGAATTTTTTTTAGTAGTGATGTGCTTACCTTCACTATATTTAGCACTCCTGTTGTACTTTTGTACTGTATGTTGTTGTAACGTTCTGACCCCGTGCCCCGACTGGACATCTGTGAAAAAGAGCTTTATAGCTCATCATATTACTCCAGTATAAATACATATCCTGAGTCATACAGTCGCAGGTTCTATCAGCAACTCAGGACACACAGGCCATCATATTCCCGGTGCCTCGGTGGGCTTTGTGGCCCCGAAGGCCGCTTCCACTACAACGACGGTTGCGTGGCCTCCTCAGATCTCTTGCTGACGGTCGTTGGTTCAAGGTGACGGGGAGTTGTTTCGGGGCAGCATGTGTGTGGCGAGCTTGTCCACTCCTCTTACTTGAGCAGGACAGCAGCGTGAAGAAGCCGCAGCGTTCACTGTGGTTGTTGGCGCTCTGCACTCTGGAGGAGCTGCCAGGTGTTACGGCCGGAGTGAAGTCCGAGACTGCGGTGACATCTTTCCGTGTAGAGTTCAGAGACTCTAGCAGTGCGGTGCCCTTATCTTGGTCATCACTTCTGATTAACTCTTCAAGAGATGTTCTGGTTCTGGTTGGCAACGTGACGGTAGAGGATATTCCTTCGGGATGTTGGCTTTTACAGCAGATGTCAACATTTTTATGAATTTATATCAAAGTCATCCGGCTGTGGCTCTAGGTTCTTCAATTGGGCATAAGTAACTTTTTCATAGCCATGCTATTTAACATTCTGAAAGTTCCTCCGATTAGAGAGTTCGTCCGACCTGGTCAGACGTCAGGTGCGGAAGCCACAACAGATCCTGCCCACCTCCCCCCCTCCGCTCCCTCCCCAGCAATAGCCAACCATGCTAATCGCACCTCTGATTATGACAGTTGGCTATGTACGGGGCAAAAGAAGTTCAACATACACACATACATATGTGGTGTTGAGGTTATGATCGCCATCAGGCTGCCGGTCTGTGTTGGCTTTGGGAAAATTGCCGATAATTGTCCTAGAAGCAATTAGTAGTGACTGTCCGGTGTTGTCCTTTGAGATGCAGCGTAAGTCTGGGTTACGCTCCTTATTGCTATTGGGCTGAGTGAAATGCGTCCGGCTGCTTAGGATTGTATAAATGAGCGGATATCACAGAGCTACCTCTTAGAGTTCTTCTTCAAGTGACCTCTGGTCCACACACAGCAGAGAGGGCAGCACTGTCTCGCGCGCTCTGCCATATGAGAGTGATGTTTGCCGCGTGACAGTCAAAACCGGTATTTTAATTCTCAGAGCTCGAGTTTGTTGAGCCACGTTAAGCGCAGAACCAAATTTGAGATGATGGTTTTTGTGCGGTTGTTGGCGAACGGGCTGAGAGGTGCTGGGCACAATCGTTGTGGAGGAAATGAGAGGCAATGTAACTGAGCAGACGACGCGCCTCCTCCTTCCCATATCTGTCTCTCCACATTAAAATATACGGTATTTTTGCACATCCCAACAGTCCCATGGAATTTAATATTGTCAGCTGGATTGGTTCAACACAAGCAAAACGCCAACACTGGTCCAGAGTTTTAAACGAAGCAATATATCTATTTTTTTACCAGGCAAGGCCCACTGAGCTATACAGTGAGGGAAAAAAAGTATTTGATCCCCTGCTGATTTTGTACGTTTGCCCACTGACAAAGAAATAATAAGTCTATAATTTTAATGGCAGGTTTATTTGAACAGTGAGAGACAGAATAACAACAAGAAAATCCAGGAAAACGCATGTCAAAAATGTTATAAATTGATTTGCATTTTAATGAGGGAAATAAGTATTTGACCCCTTCTCAATCAGAAAGATTTCTGGCTCCCAAGTGTCTTTTATACAGGTAACGGGCTGAGATTAGGAGCACACTCTTAAAGGGAGTGCTCCTAATCTCAGCTTGTTACCTGTATAAAAGACACCTGTCCACAGAAGTAATCAATCAATCAGATTCCAAACTCTCCACCATGGCCAAGACCAAAGAGCTCTCCAAGGATGTCAGGGACAAGATTGTAGACCTACATAAGGCTGGAATGGGCTACAAGACCATTGCCAAGCAGCTTGGTGAGAAGGTGACAACAATTGGTGTGATTATTCGCAAATGGAAGAAACACAAAAGAACTGTCAATCTCCCTCGGCCTGGGGCTCCATGCAAAATCTCACCTCGTGGAGTTTCAATGATCATGAGAACGGTGAGGAATCAGCCCAGAACTACACGGGAGGATCTTGTAAATGATCTCAAGGCAGCTGGGACCATAGTTACCAAGAAAACAATTGGTAACACACTACGCCGTGAAGGACTGAAATCCTGCAGCGCCCACAAGGTCCCCCTGCTCAAGAAAGCACATATACATGCCCGTCTGAAGTTTGCCAATGAACATCTGAATGATTCAGAGGACAACTGGGTGAAAGTGTTGTAGTCAGATGAGACCAAAATGGAGCTCTTTGGCATCAACTCAACTCGCCATGTTTGGAGGAGGAGGAATGCTGCCTATGACCCCAAGAACACCATCCCCACCGTCAAACATGGAGGTGGAAACATTATGCTTTGGGGGTGTTTTCTGCTAAGGGGACAGGACAACTTCACCGCATCAAAGGGACGATGGACGGGGCCATGTACCGTCAAATCTTGGGTGAGAATCCTCCTTCCCTCAGCCAGGGCATTGAAAATGGGTCGTGGATGGGTATTCCAGCTTGACAATGACCCAAAACACACACCCAAGTCAACACAGGAGTGGCTCAAGAAGAAGCACATGAAGGTCCTGGAGTGGCCTAGCAAGTCTCCAGACCTTAATCCTATGTGGAGGGAGCTGGTGGCCAACTACAAGAAACTTCTGACCTCTGTGATTGCCAACAAGGGTTTTTGCCACTAAATACTAAGTCATGTTTTGCAGAGGGGTCAAATACTTGTTTCCCTCATTAAAATGCAAATCAATTTATAAAAATTTTGACATGCGTTTTTCTGGATTTTTTTGTTGTTATTCGGTCTCTCACTATTCAAATAAACCTATCATTAAAATTATAGACTGATCATTTATTTGTCAGTGGGCAAACGTACAAAATCAGCAGGGGATCAAATACTTTTTTTCCCTCACTGTATAGCGACCTGGCCACAAATGATAGCTCAACAAAGTGGCTTATCACGTGGACATTTCTAGCAGCAAAATACTCTAAACGCGTGTTTTTAAATATGGAAAAAAACCAGAGGACCCGGAGAAAAATCCATGCGACCATGGGGAGAACATGCAAGTATACAGCAGGTGTCAGGGTCGGATTTGAACCCACGACCTCCTGTATACCAGGTGAGGTAGTTAACATCCTGCCACCGGCGAGTCAAACTCGGCTGTGTACAACCAGTGAGGATGGTAGCAATCCCGTGGGGAGTAATGTGGCAAAATCACGAGTTTGCACACGTGCCTTCTTCTTGTCCTCTCCGGCAGCGTGGAGAGGACAAGAAGAATGCAAGTTTTTGCTTGCGTTGAACCAATTCTGCTGAAATGATGCCCTTCCTGAAGGCAAAGTGGCTGATCGGATGTGTAAAAAAAAAAATACACTTCGCAAGAAAACCTCCATTTTCTCCACTGGGCGTCTCGCCACCACGTGTGGTCAACCGCATTGAGCAACAGAGACAAAAATCACAGCACTCCATCCGGCTCGTGTGCGCTCGTGGCTGGATGGCGGTGGCGGTGATGGTGATGGCGGGTGATTTGGTGGTGGCCAAGTGGCAGAGTGGCGGTTGACTGGTGGTGGCGGTGGCCGCTGATTGGGCGGTGATGGGAGTGGCTGAAATGGCGGTGACGACTGATTGGTGGTGACGGTCGTGGCAGATATATGGCAGTGGCGATGGAGGTCGTGACGGCAGATTGGTGATGGCAGATAATTGGTCGTGGTGGTGCCGGCCGATTGGGCGCAGGCTGAGTGGCAGAGTGGCGGTGGCAGCTGAATGGTGGCAATGGTGCCGATGGTTGCGGTTGATTGGGCGCTGACCGAGTGGCTGAGTGGCGACAGTGGCGAGGGCTCACCAATCCCGGTGGGTAAATGAACGTGCGGCGTCGGCGGAAGACGCTGCCGCGCAGGCAGAGCAGCACGAGCACGACGAGCAGGATGGTGAGGCAGGTGACGGCCACGGAGCCCATCACGGCCAGCAGCAGCTGTGGCTCGGGCCCAGCGGCAGGCCCCCCCGTTGCCTGGGCGTCCCCACCGCCGGCCCTGTCCTGCGACATCACTGCGGGCGCGCACGCACGCACGGACACGAGCGTCTCGTAAATACATTGTAACTTACAGTAGTCGTGAGTTCTGGATTAGGGCACTGCTGTACGGACCTGGCGACCCGAGTGCAACATTCAATAACAGCGGCGGATAATTGAACCGGCTCTCACTCAGGACCTCCCCCTCGGTCGACTCAGCCTTAAAATGAGTACCTGGTGCGATGTGTATAAAGAAAAATAATCGCTGTGGAGACAAATGCAGTCGGGCGTGGTGTTGGCCACCCACACCATCACGTTCCGTGCTGGCCTTCATGGATGCTCGCTAACTGCGCTTGCTACAGAGGGGAATGTTCGTCTCTGTCTTGTGCGTATGGACTCATGCAAATGTGCACATGACTGTGTATGTGATTCATGTCCAAAGTTGGGAGAGGAAATCCATTCAACAGGCACTCATCACCACCTAGTGGAGCATACAGGCACACGTACGCATGTATGTTGTACTTCTTTCGCAACGTACGAAGCCAACCGTGCTAATTGGAGGTGCGGGGAAAGGACAACCAACTAAACACAAAAAACAGTTCTAAACAAAGGAGTTTTGAATCTAGAGTTAAAGTGCATAACTCCAGTGCCTTCTCAATATTGAAAGGAAGAGCATTCCAGACAGCCGCAGAAGGGCATCCGAAAACGCGCTTTGCAGTGACCATCTTTGTTCAATGGCCAACCAAAAGCTGCAGCTGCGTGGATGACCAGACTTCACGTGATGGTTTACACTCCTTGATGAGATCAGCAAGGTACACGGCACACACTCACACGGGAAGGGGGGGGGGCAGCACCTCCGATGGTGGAGAGAGGAGGGGGGTGGCACCTGCGATGGTTGAGAGCGTGCGGAGCTCGCGGATGATGTTGGGCGAGCTCTCCCCCACGTTGTTGCGGGCGACGATTTCGAGAAGGTACGGCCGCTCGGGCTCGAGGCCCGTGATACGCGCCTCGGAGCGCACGGGCCCAGCCTCGCCGCCCTCCGGCAGCTTCACCACCCGATCCAGCGGCTCGCGGTCTCCGTACACCTGCACCAGGCGCGGTGCGTGGATGGCGGGATTCACGCGACACAATTCACGGTATAATTGCCGATAGGTTCACGTGTACCGTTGACGACACATCGCAAGATACGGTCTGCAATCGACGATACCGGAATCTTGCCGAGATCTAACGCCTACGTTGTTCAAAGACACCGGTGGTGTGACTATCAACCGCATCAGAACATCTACAGGCCGATTCGCACATCCCCTTCATTAGTGGACCATTCAAGACAAGCCTCAGTAGTGCGATTGTGGCCATGCAACCCAAACTACAGACTATAGAGTAAACCACTGTTCAAAGGAGGAGGAACAGCAAAACTACACCAATTCTCTCCTAAGAGACCACAACATTGGTATTTAGCTTCTGAACGTATTGCTGCCTTAGGCAAGAACAAAACCATGTCCCCTCGGTCTCCCCTCGCTGGTCTCACGAGCAGCGTCGTATCATGCGTGCCCATGGCGTTGTGCGTCTCCATCCCGTTGACTTCTGTCCCCAAATCCCCACGCTTCCCTTTAACTGTCGTCATTGTTCTCATGGTGAGCGGAGCGTGGGGACCGGTAGTGAGCGGAGCGTGGGGACTGGCGGTGGGCCCAGCTGGGAGGCGGTGTTGGTGCCAGGGCTCACCTTGTAGCGCAGAATGATGGCAGAGATGAAGTGCCCCTCGGCCACACTCCAGGACACGGTGGCCGCCGTGTCCGTGGTGTTGTAGATGTGGACATCTGTGGGGGCGGGTGGGGGACCTGCCACACACACACGACCATATGCACGCGCGCACACACGTACAATTGCACACACGCACACACGTGGCGCAGTCCATCGGTGTGTGCCGTGAGAGTCTGAAATCGGGAATCCGCTCCTCCGTGCGGAGCTGCGGCGCACAGATGGAGCGGCCAGGGTGATGCTCGTCTACGGTGTTGCCACCTGTCCAGGTTTGACCCGGATTTCACCGTGGTCAAACCTCATTCTGACCCAGGTTTGTTCCTCGTGACCCTGAAGATTGGCACCTGTATGTGAGTGATGGCAGCAGTTGATTTTTGATAATATAAAACACGAATTAGAGCGCATGCATATTTAAAGAATCGGACATTTCAGCCAAAGCTCAAACGTCCCTCGTATGCCAGCCTGAATGTGAGAACGTGGACGGGTAAGAGCCTAGTTGTGGTGGCAGCAGTGGCATTGGCGGCGCTCACGGTTGCTGTGGGTCCACGCGGTGATGGCCTCGCTCCACGCGCCGGGCTCCTGTGCGTGCGCGCGCACGCGGAACGAGTAGCGCGACGCCGGCTGCAGCTGCGCCGCCGTGAGCTGCGCGCGGTCGCCGGGCGTCGCAGCCTCGCGGGGCACGGCGTCCGCCACCCCTGCCGGCGACGAGGAGCCGGACCCCACCGGCCCCCCGGGCCCCGGGCCCGCGGAACCCGCGGCCCCCGCCCCGGAGCCGGGCGCCCGCCGCCACTCGACGAGGTAGCGCACGATGCGGCCGCGGTGCGAGGAGGGCGGCTCCCAGGTCAGGCGCACGGCCGTCTGGTTGAGGGCGCGAGCGCGCAGGCCCAGCGGTGCCGAGGGGCCTGGGGAAGGCCGAGATGGGGGAGTGCGCGACGAGATGCAGCGAGAGACACGGAGAGGCGTGGTAATATGCGGCGAGACACGGCAAGACATGATGAGCAACGGACACGGAGAGACACGGCACGGCAAGACGCGACGAGAATCGGACATGGCGAGACAAGGTGCATACCGAGCGAGCCCAGCAGGAAGCTGTGGCTCTGTGAGGGCGGCCCGCGGCTGCCGCAATTGTAGAGCAGCAGCTGCAGCGAATAGCGGTGGTCGGGCTCCAGGTCCTGCACGGAGCGCTCCCGCGCCTCCAGCCCCGGCACCTTGACCTCGCGCAAGAAGCCGTCGGCCGGGCGGCGGAAGAGCAGCACCACTCCCTCGGCGTTCTCCACGACGGGCGGCGGGGCCGGCAGCGACCACGCCACCCGCACCTCCGTGCGGCCCGTCGCGGCCACGGGGCCCAGCACAGGGGCCACCGTCGGGTCTGGACGCCGTGGCGGAGACACGGGAAGGGAGACGTTGGTTCGGGGGAATCGGGCCGGGACCGCGCGGGCTGTCTTGGCGAGCGTGCCGCACGTGGTTTTTTTGTTTTTTTACCGGGGCAGTCTGTCTGCAGCATGGCCTCGGGGCCCCGCGGCCCGGAGCCCTCAGGCCCTGGACGCTGCAGCTGCACCCTCAGGCTGTAGTTGGTGAGCGGCTGGAGGTTTCCGAGTAGGTAGGACGACACGTTCTCCACTGCACGGGTGCGACAGAAACGCGGCAAGGACAAAGCAGGGAAACATCACGGAAATCGTCAAAGTAATCACCATAGATGTCGTGGTAATTGTAAAAAATAACTAAACTATTGTTATTTTACCAGGTAAAGCCCACTGAGCTACGGTTTTGATCACGATCATCACAGTGCTTGTCACGGTAAAAGTCACAGTCAGCATTAAGGTAGACGTCATGGTGATCACCGCGGTAGACGTCACGGTGATCACCACGGTCGACATCAGAGTGATCACCACGGTAGACGTCACGGTGATCACCACGGTCGACATCACAGTGATCACCACGGTAGATGTCACAGTGATCACCGCGGTAGATGTCACAGTGATCACCGCGGTAGATGTCATGGTGATCACCACGGTAGACGTCACGGTGATCACCACGGTAGACGTCACGGTGATCACCACGGTAGACGTCACGGTGATCACCACGGTAGACGTCACGGCGATCACCACGGTAGACGTCACGGTGATCACCACGGTAGACGTCACGGTGATCACCACAGTAATATGTCACAGTGATCGCCATGGTAGACGTCACGGTGATCACCACGGTAGACGTCACGGTGATCACCACGGTAGATGTCACAGTGATCGCCATGGTAGACGTCACGGCGATCACCACGGTAGACGTCACGGTGATCACCACGGTAGACGTCACGGTGATCACCATGGTAGACGTCACGGTGAAACGTGGCACTCACGGTAGACGTCGCACAGCTTCTCAGCAGGGCGGCTGCTGGAGGTGTAGATGAGACGGGCCCCCTGGAGCGGCCCGTCGCCCTTGTGCGGCGTCACCATGAGGTCCAGCATGAGCGCCGTGCTGAACCTCTGCACGAGCCGCGGCGGGGACTCGGGCGAGGGCGGCACTGCCGGAGGAGGGAGAGCGAGGGGAGGGGGGCCACGACGGAATTGAACGCCGGAACGACTGCGAGCGGCCGACCGCACCACGGCACCGATCGCCGCAGCCCCGGCGGTCGACGCGTCTCCGGTTCCCGCGTTCTTCGCGGCCCGCCGGCCGGGCCTCTATTTGCGGTCTGCGGGGCCCCGGCGCGGCTGCACCACCTACGCGGCACCACTTGGCGCTGTCTAACCCCAGGGCCCCCGGGGTCAGTTGCCTAGCTGCCGATGGGTGCAGCCATTGGCATTGGTTAGCATCGCCCGGGAATCGGTCACCCGCGGTGGCGATCTCGAGCTTCGTCGTGGATAACGTGCGTGGCCGAGTGACCGAGCAGACGATCCGTCTCGTTGCCATGGCAGTGAAACTCACAAGGGAGGGGACGTTCTCGGAGTGCAGATGAGAGGTAAATTTGTTTCTTTCTGGTTTCATGAGCACAGGGGACAAAGGCCCAAAACACCGAGTGACCAGCAAAACAACAGCACCATTATCAAACTTGTCACAGATGAGAGCGTAACACGTTTCGAGCTTTGGGATAACAGATGCGGTGGGGAGCAGTTCTGTGGTGTCCGCTTCCGGCGAGCCGTTCTCTAGGCGTGCCGCACCGTGCCGCGAAAGATACCGAGAGCCAATTCTCCGTCGCGTAACGCCGACAGCGCAATGTGCACGGCGTGGGTGGGACAAGGCGGAGGAGGAAGATTGAGAGTGTGAATGTGCACAGCGTGGGTGGGACAAGGTGGAGAAGGAAGATTGAGAGTGTGAATGTGCACGGAGTGGGTGGGACAAGGCGGAGGAGGAAGGTTGAGAGTGTGAATGTGCACAGCATGGGTGGGATAAGGTGGAGGAGGAAGATTGAGAGCGTGAATGTGCATGGCGTGGGTGGGACAAGGCGGAGGAGGAAGGTTGAGAGTGTGAATGTGCACGGCATGGGTGGGACAAGGCGGAGGAGGAAGATTGAGAGTGTGAATGTGCATGCCGTGGGTGGGACAAGGCGGAGGAGGAAGATTGAGAGTGTGAATGTGCACGGCATGGGTGGGACAAGGCGGAGGAGGAAGATTGAGAGTGTGAATGTGCACGCCGTGGGTGGGACAAGGCGGAGGAGGAAGATTGAGAGTGTGAATGTGCACAGCGTGGGTGGGACAAGGCGGAGGAGGAAGATTGAGAGTGTGAATGTGCACTGCGTGGGTGGGACAAGGCGGAGGAGGAAGATTGAGAGTGTGAATGTGCACGGCGTGGGTGGGACAAGGCGGAAGAGGAAGGTTCAGAGCGTGAATGTGCACGGCGTTGGTGGGACAAGGCGGAGGATGAAGGTTGAGAGTGTGAATGTGCACGGCGTGGGTGGGACAATGTGGAGGAGGAAGATTGAGAGTGTGACTGTGCACGGCATGGGTGGGACAAGGCGGAGGAGGAAGATTGAGAGTGTGAATGTGCACGGCGTGGGTGGGACAAGGCGGAGGAGGAAGATTGAGACTGTGAATGTGCACGCCGTGGGTTGGACAAGGCGGAGGAGGAAGATTGAGAGTGTGAATGTGCACGGCGTGGGTGGGACCAGGCGGAGGAGGAAGATTGAGAGTGTGAATGTGCACGCCGTGGGTGGGACAAGGTGGAGGAGGAAGATTGAGAGTGTGAATGTGCACAGCGTGGGTGGGACAAGGCGGAGGAGGAAGGTTCAGAGCGTGAATGTGCACGGCGTGGCGGATGTCCTCGAGACCTTTGAAGTCGATGCGGAAAGACTTCTCGCGGCGGCCCGCAGGCGTCTCCACGCGGCACCTCCACTCCCCGTCGTCCGTCACCTTGGCTTCGGCCAGCTTGAACGTCGAGGTGGTGATATTCCTCTCCGTGCTGGATGACGCAGGCTGGAGAACGGCCCAATGCCGAAGTCACGTGGGGTCACGTGGGTTCACGCAGTGTCGCGCGGGGTCGCACGGGGTCACGCGTGGTCATGCGGGGTCGCGTGGGTTCACAGGAGAACACGGGGTCGCGTGGGAGAACGCGGGATCTCGCGGGGTCACGTGGGGTCGAGCAGGAGAATGTGGGGTCACGCGGGGTCGCGTGAGGTCACACGGGAGAACACGGGGTCGCGCGGGGTCACACGTGCGTTGTGGCGCGGTCTGGCATGGTGTAGTTTTCCACAGTGCGGTGCGGCGCTCACGCTGAGCTTGGAGCCGTCGGGCCGGAGCAGCTCGATGTCGTCGCGCCGCGGCGTGGGGAACCCGGTGGCGGAGCAGTTGAGCTGCAGCCGCGTGCGAGCGTTAATCTCCAGGTCCTCAAGCGGCTCCAGGATGCAGGGGGGGGTCAGGGCTGCGTGGGGGGAGGGGCAGGGAGTGGGGGTAAAAAACTAAGTGCGGCAATTGATCAAATAGAAATCTGCGCAAAAGCAACAGCGTTACACGGAACACAGTACACGAACATAAGTCAATACGAAACAAAGCATATCTCCTGGAACGAAAGTGATGTTGAAAATCCATTCATGCAGGAGTAAGATTAAATTGGTATGTGCGCTGATTGCAATGGTTGCGCACGACGGTTGCATGTCGTTGCGTGCAATCTTACCCTCCTGCTCGCACCGCGCGCCCTTCCAGCCCTCGGGGCAGATGCAGCCTCGGAAGGGGTCGCAGGGCGCCCCGCGTTCACACTCGCACTTGAAGCGGCAGTTTGGCCCATAATCCCCTGCGCCGCACGCTGAGCACCACACACACAAAGATACAAGTGCAACCTTAACAGGCTGCTGGGGCAAGTGCTGTTAGCGAGTAGCACCAATGAAGGCCGGCACGGCACACGAGTGAGTGGGTGGCCAGCATGACGCTCGGCCGCCATTGTCTCCCCAGTGGCGATGTTTACACACCGCACCAGGGACTCATTTGAGGCTGAGTCGACCTAGGGGAGGCCCAGGACCGGTTCAGATAATCGTCACTGGTGTTGGCCGTGAGTGGGAATCGAACTCGGGTCACTGGGTTCGTAGCGCAGCGTGCCAACCGCTACACTACCGCTCCCCACAACTACAACACTCACGCACCAACACGCACGCACCAACACGCACGCACCAACACGCACGCACCAACATGCCCTGCGGCGGTGCGGCATCGACCGGGAAACGCTCGATGCCGCCTGCTTTGCTGGCGGTGGACGTTCATCGAAATCCCGCGACATCATTCGAAGAGGAGGCCGTCGCGTGCCGACGTCACACTCCAAATTTGAAAAAAATGTCCACCGCAAATCACTCGGTTGGGAAACACGCATTGCAAACCTAGGCAGGACCCTCCTGACAAAGAGTCTTGAGACTCAGCGAGTCTTTCCTGGGTAAACAAGTGGAATCATAACAATAACAACACGTCCCGTCCATGGTGAGCAAAAATACTCTGGTACATAGTACTCCTATGGTTAATACTGTACACACCACATAATTAACCAGGGCGGCATGCCAGATGGAACCACATATACCTCTGCAACAAGGAGCACAGAACTCGCTACCACTGCGCCATGCTGCTGTGCAGTGCATGGAACACCCAGCATGGAACTCATAGCATAGAGCAGGGAGTACACAACATGGAGCACAGCATAGAGCATGGGGCACACAACATGAAACAGTATAGAGCATGGAGCACACAACATGAAGCACAGTATAGAGCAGGGAGTAGACAACATGAAGCACAGCATAGAGCAGGGAGTACACAACATGAAGCACAGTATAGAGCATGGGGCACACAACACGAAGCACAGTATAGAGCAGGGAGTACACAGCATGGAGCACACAGCATAGAGCACACAGCATGGAGCATGGCGCACACAACATAGAGTACACAACATAGAGCACTTAGCATAGAACAGGGAGCACACAATATGGAGTAGACAACATGGAGCACACTGCATAGAGCAGAGAGCACAGGATAGACCAGGGAGCACACAGCATAGACCAGGGAGCACACCTCATGGAGCAGATAGCACACAGCATGCAGCACACAGCATAGAGCAGAGAGCACACACCATCGAGCAGGAAGCACACAGCATAGAGCACAGCATGGAGCAATGCTCACACAGCATGGAGCACACAGAATAGAGCACAGCATAGAGGATGGAGCACACAGCACGGGGCGTGGGCGTCTGGGTGCTCACGCTTGTCACAGTCTGGGCCGTGCCACCCGGTCGCGCAGGAGCAGCCGTAGGGGTCCGGGAGGCAGAACGTGTAGAAGTTGCAGCCCCCGTCCTTGCAACGCTCGGAGCACTTGCTCCCAAACGCATCGTCCCCGCATCCTGCGAAGACAAAGATCGCCCGTATAGTCTTGAACAGACCGTTGGGGCATATTCTGTTTGCAAGCGGCACCTACGAAGGCCGACATGTCGCACCTGAGTGGGCCGCCTTTGTCTGCCAGTGCTGATGTTTACACACAGCACCAAAATACTCATTTGAGGCCGAGTCAACCTAGGGGAGGGCTGATCGGCGGTTCAAACGATGGCCACTTTTATTGGTGGTGAGCGGGAATCGAAGTTGCGTTGTCAGTGCGCCACCGCTCCTAACACGCGCGCGCAGTCGCCGCTGGCAGGGCGTGCGTTGATTGACAGTTCTATGTAAACACAGTTCATTCGTAACATAAATAATCACAAACTATGCCCGTCTATCCCTACGTCAAAGATATATATATTTTAAAGTATGTTAACACGTTCCATAAGCCGCATGGCCTTCTGTGAATGCATAATTTCAGCAAGATTGGTTCAACACAAGCACAACTCTGGGCCGGTTTTGACATTCAAATTCACTTGTGTTGAAGCAATGCTCTGAAATACACTTCTTAAAGGCCGAGTGGCTGATGGGATGTGTTAGAAAATACACTAAGTGAAAGTACGTAATGACAATATTCCAAACGTGGGCATTGTTTGAAACGAATTATCCTAAGCTATCATCATTTTTTGTAAACGTTTCCAAGACAGGTCCTTGAGAAGGGACATTGCTCAAAACGTCACCTGTCATGTTTCATTTTAAGGCCAAGCAGTGTTGGGTTTTTGTTATTGGCGGTTGAATACATTTCTATATTTTTCAAATAATATGACGACTGCTGCTGGTTTATTTACAAAAATAAATTCATGATCATCATCGCACCGGTGTCGATGCATCGGTCGAGAGGTGACGCCAAACTCCCCCCCTGCCCCCCCCCTCCCCACCGCTCGTTCCCCCGGCCCCCGCACCGACTTCACGCCCATTACCGGTCTCGCACACGGGACCCATGAAGCCCGGCGGGCACACGCAGGTGCCGCTGTCCTCGTGGCACACGCCACCGTGGAGGCACGCCGGGCACTGCCGCGCGCAGTCCAGTCCCCACAGGTCCGCGGGACACCCTGCAGGGATGATGGGGTCATCATCATCGGGTCATTATCATCATCATCATCATCGGTTCATCATCATCATCATCGGTTCATCATCATCATCGGGTCATCATCGGTTCATCATCATCAGGTCATCATCATCAGGTCATCATCATCGGGTCATTATCATCATCATCGGGTCATCATCATCATCGGTTCATAATCATCAAGTCATCATCATCGGGTCATCATCATCATTAGGTCATCATCAGCTCATCATCGGGAAATCATCGGGGCGGCTTGCGAGTGCTGTTGCCATGGCGACAGAGGCCGTCGAGTCTGCCCCACGTGACCTCCAGGGTCGAGGTCGGTGCCGGCTCAAGGCCTTCGAGTTGAAGCAACGCAGCTTCAGCCGGGCCTGTCCATCATCACGAAGGCTCTTAATGATTACACTGTGTAACAAAAAAAAATGTTCCTGGGTAGTCAGTGTTATTTTCTAATTGCTTATGCCTTAAAAGTACAGAAAATTTTGATTTAAAGCTTTCGTGACTGCAGTAATTCATATTCTTAGTTATTTCGGTAAAGTCACGTTGTTGTTTCCCTTCAACGTGACTTTACCGAAAGAACTAAGAATATGAAGTACAGAAAAGTTTGTGGGGAATAATAGCTATTCTATATACTTTTGAGGCACAAGCCATTAGAAAATAACACTACCCAGGAACAAAAATAGTGTTACATAGTGTGATGTACAGAGGCTCAGGGACCCCGAGAGCATGCCAAACAACCCAGAGCCCTATTGATGGTATCACAAGCCTTGACGAAGGTCAATAAAGCAGTGATGTAGGTCCTGTTGAAATTCCCTACACCTCTGCTGTAGCAGATGGACAGAGAATATGGCGCCCGTGCAGAAACGCCCCGGCTTGAAACACAGTGGAGCTCCGCAAGTCTTTCCTCGGCATGCTGGCAAGGAAACGGTAAATAACCCTTGCCAGGACTTTTCACGGCACACTGAGGAGGGAGATGCCCTGGTAGTTGTTACAATCAAGTACGGTCCCATTTTTTGAAGAGGGGGACCACTAGGGCATCCTTCCAATCCTGTCTGTAGTCCAGACAGTTGTGATTATATCACATTAGGCAGTCTACACACAAACGCCACCTTCCCCCAGCAGTTCGCTTGGGAGACAATCTCTGCCTGGCGCTTTCCCTGGTGATGTGCCATCTGTTGAGGAAGTGCGAGGAGCACAGACAAACACAAAGACCCCCACCTCCCTGTATAGCCTGAAAACTGGGAAAAGTGCTCTCCATGAGCGCCTATTAAGACCGGCACGGCACACAAGGGGATGGGTGGCTAACACCACACCCGCCCGCCTTTGTCTTCCTAGTGGCGATGTTTACACACTACACCAGGAAGTCATTTGATGCTGAGTCGACCAAGGGTAGGCCCAGGACCGATTCAGAAAATCGTCACTGGTGTTGGCCATGAGCGAGAATCGAACTCGCGTCGCCGGGTTTGTACTTTGTAGCACCGCGCGCTAACCACTACCAAAACAATTTTTATTTTATCAGCTAAGGCCCACTGAGCTATGTAGCGCTTTTTTAGATGCGACCTTGTCACAAATCATATAGCTCAACGTGCAGAAATGTAAAGCAGCCAAATACTCTAAACACGTGATGTCGTTTCTAAATGTGGAGGAAAAAACCAGAGGACCCTGAGAAAAATGCACGCGACCATGGGGAGAGAGATACGCAAACTCCATATATACAGCTCTCTTTTTTTACGATCAGAGGAAACAAGAACATGCTTCTTCTTTGGTTCTTTCGGTAAGGTCACGTAGAATGAGAATAAAATAATAAAATAACAATAAAATTCTCACGACGTTTCGGCCACAACGCAAGCAGCCGTCTTCAGGTGAAAGGTACAGACCTGTCAGGACTTTGCTTCATTCATCATGTCTTTTTTTGCTTTTTTTCCATAGCTTTGCTTTATGTGCTCCCCCCCCCCTTTTTTTAAATGAAAGATGTTACGTGTATTCCCATTGTATACAGCAGTCAGGGTTAGAATGCAACCCACAATCACCTGCATACCAGGCGAGGGAGATAACATTTCACCACCGTGGCGCCCCCATACTCCGGCTCCCCACGCACGCACACACACACAACAACAACAACCGCCATTCGCCACTAAGTGGCGGTGACGTCACCACGACGCTTGTGCCAGGCTATGTGCACCCTGAGGCCACGTGAAGTGTCGAACGCCCGCTGGCAGGAGGTCACGGGGCAGACCCAGGTGCCACGGGTCGACTGACTGAGATGGCTGGCTGATGCATCACCTGTGCCCCCTACTGTGCCAACCTGCTGTGCTTCAGCCACCCGGCGCTCTGCTCGTTGTTGTGAGCGTAGCTCCTCGGGGCCGGATCCAGCCCTGATCGCCCCGGGATCGCGGTCAACCACCCCCCCCCTCACCGACGGCGCCGCGGCGACGGGGACCCACTCCGAGCCGGAGGAGATCCCGGCTGCGGGTGGGTCGAGGGAAGAGGCAGGCGCCAGGCCCCAGGTGGGCAGGCACGCGGGCCTCGATGACAGATTATTATCGGAGTCAGGGTCGGAGTCGATGTCAAAGTCGACATTCAATGGCCACGGCTCCGTCGCCGTCATATATGGTGAAGGTGTCGACACGGACGATGGCGATAGGGTCGAGGAGTACGCCCCGAACGTCGTCCTCGACTTCATACAAACCACTCCCCGGGAACCCAGGTCGAAAGTCAGGGCCGCCTTCCCCGACATGTCGGGCTTTCTAGCAACCGCGCGAATAATCAAACAGGACCCGGACGAGTACGGCTGCACTCGGTGGGAGCGCGTCGTACTGAGAACGTTAATAGACCAGGTGCAGGGGGAGCGAGACGCTCTTCGAAGCAGGGCAAGACTCGACGCCTCCCTTTCACGGGACATACAGGACCCGGACGAGTACGGCTGCACTCAGTGGGAGCACGTCATACTGAGAACGTTAATAGACCAGGTGCAGGGGGAGCGAGATGCTCTTCGAAGCAAGGCGAGACTAACGCCCCCCTTTCACGGGACATACCGCTCGGCTCACTGATATGCCAGGGCCAGGCAGGTCCATCGCAGCTTGGGCAAACCTTCTGCGAGATGAGAATGTTTTCTCACGCGAGAGCTTGTGGAAAGCCGATGCATTGCCGATTCGTTGGGTGTTTCACCACTTTATGCTACCTCTTTGGATGCTCCTCCCTCGATTAAGCGCTGTAGGATCCCACCGCGTATGCATACACCTTGCATTCGGTGTGACGAGGCTGGGTGTTAGAGCGCGAGGGTGTGCGTTTTCCGTATCATGCTACCGTCCCGCACTGCCGGTCGCACCGCTGGCATGTAAACGGTGTACAGGTCAAACTACTGACTGTTTACTACATGCGCGCGAAGACGCGCATGGACCGGGTGTCTTCTTTTTCGCTCCATTTGTGAGTCGGTCGCGCCCGCGATGACGAGCGCGGACCCCGAAGTGGCTTTTTTTTCGCACGTGTGCACTCACACGTGCTGGCAGGGGACTCCCCCCCCTGTGCAGCGCGTGGGTTGTGTTCTGGACCCGGGGGGGGGGGGGGGTTTCCCCCCACATCTTTTATCTTTTGTTGTGAAGCGTTTTTTTATATTTACCTGTATTGGTGGCGATCAGCTGCGTCGTTTGGCTGTGCGGGCGATGACGCGCGGACCTGTTTTGGTTTAGTGGCTGGGACCACCCGTGTCTTGTGGGCGGTGCGTGGTTCGCACTTTGGACCCCGATTTTTTTCCCGCTTCAGTTTTATTGCGGAACGGTCTCTCGATGATATGTACGCCTGTGTTGACGGGGGTTCGACTGTGGTCGGTGTCGCCGGCCTTGAGCGCGATGTCGCGCACGGATTTTGTGTATTGGTTTTGTTTATTGGCGACTCTCGCAATTGCTCACCGAAACCGCCCAGGGCATTTGCTACTGGGTAATAAAGGAATTTCAAAGTCAAAGTCTCTCCCTCTCTCTCTCCCTCTCTCTCTCCCTCTCTCTCTTCCTCTCTCTCTTCCTCTCTCTCTCTCCCTCTCTCTCTTCCTCTCCCTCTCTCCCTCTCTCTCTTCCTCTCTCTCTTCCTCTCTCTCTCCCTCTCTCTCTTCCTCTCCCTCTCTCTCTCCCTCTCTCTCTTCCTCTCTCTCTTCCTCTCATCACGCGGCTCGGAGCAGAGTTCGCCGGACTCACGGCGCACGATGAGGCGAGTGCAGGCGCCCAAGAGCCAGCTGTTGCTGACGTAGCGTGCGCAGTAGACGCCGGCATGTGCCGGGGTGGCGTTCGCGATGTGCAGGGTCACCTTGCCCTGCACCACCTCGCTCACGGGGGTCGTGGTGTCAAACGAGCCTGGCAGGGGAGGGGGCGGAGGGGCACAGCCACTAAGTCAATGGATAAGGCGAAGAAAACATCAGAATAAGTTGATATCACATTAATAATAGGAGTTACTTGCATGGCCAGTGGTTACGCTCACAACGAGTAGGGCCTGGGTTTTATTCCTGACTCGGGCGGGCTTCCTGCGTGGAGTTTGTAAGCCACGCAGTTACTTGTACACCGAAATGTTTGGTCCATGATCATTACCGTTGTGTGCGTTATTAACGAAGGAAGGATTCAAACCGGAGAACCAGGAGAGAGCCCGTGCCTAACAGTGAGAGAACATACCAACTCCACACAGAAGTGTGCCACAGCCTGGAATCAAAGCCAGTTCATTCATGCTGTGAGGCACGAATGTTACCGCTGTAAAGGCAAAAACTTCCCGTATTGCGTTAACAGATTGTTGGGGCAAGTACTGTTAGCGAGCACCTATGAAGGTTGGCACGGCACATGAGGAGGTGGGTGACCAACACCACACCAGGTACACATTTGAGGCTGAGTCAACCTGGGGGAATCCCAGGGCCAGTTTAAATATTCTCTGTCACTGTTATTGGTCACGAGCGGGAATTTAAATTGCCGTGTTGATTGCGCAGCGTGCTAACCACTGCGCCACCGCTCCCCACACACACAAGCACACACTGAAAACAGGCCAAGTGGAGGGATTCACGCGGCTTGTGTAGACAATGAAAAATATCTCTGGGCCAAAGATGACGCGCGGCTGTCATTGCAGACAGGGACCGTGCCGGGGGTGGGAGGGTAAGGAGGGAGGGGTGGAGGAGGAGAAGGTGGGAGAGGAGGAGGCGGGAGACACAGCAACTCCGAGGGCCCTGGTGCCAGGCCCAACTGGCTCCTCTCCCAGCCTCATCCTTGGATGGGCCGGGCTGCGGTTAGGCGTAGCCTTTCCTGATTCCCACATTTAAATCAACGTCGCATTGTGGATAATTTACTTCCTAGTTTTTATATTGAGCAACAATAACAATGTGCCTTAAACTGATGCTAGATCCGTGAATGTTTTGTCCCCCACGGACGAAGCAGACTCAAAAGATGTTCCCCCTGCCTGGTTAATAATCGCAAATGCTGCCAGTTCCTCCACCACGCTTCCCTCTCGTCTTGGTCGAGAACGCGGCTCTGTTGGCGAGGGACGGCTCTCACGCACTGTGGTTACATTTCCGAATAGTGGTCGCATTACGATGGGGGGGAAAAAAGGAGAGATCCCAATAATCACACAAGCCACAAACTCCGTTCATTCCCAAGCCTTGCAGACCAGGACTGTGGAGGTAGTGAGGGTTGATGGAGCACAAAAAAAGTAGCTAAACTCCCTTCCCGTGCACATCGAGGAAATGCCATACCCTCACTTTAAAGGAGAAGGCAGTAAAGTAAGTGTGGACTCCACATGTTCCATTTCTCTGGGATAGAGTCTTTCCCCGTCGCACACGTGGGTTTTCTGTGATCTCTATGCGAATATACAGGTGAATGTAAGACCATGGACCTCCATGTCAGTCTATGGGTCTCTATGTAAGTCAATGGGTCTGTCTCTATGTGAGTCTGTGGGTCTCTATATGAGTTTGTAGATATTGGTGTGAGGTCTTTAGGTCTCTACGAGAGGCTCACTCTCAGCCCACTTTTTTAGGAGCTACAAATGGGATCCATGGTGCCAAACACAACAAGCACGAGGAGACGGAATTGTCTGTTTGTTTAGTTTATTTAGATTCTCCGCAAACGATGTGAATGATTGTTTAGTGAATTACAATTGAGTTTTGACTCCAACTAGGACACGTATCTAACAGAGGGTCCTTGCCGATAAACAAGTGGCAGTTCAACAGAATTGGTCCAAGCAAGTTTGACTGCTGATGATGAGACGCTGAATGTCAAGACATGACCAGAATTTTGCTTGTATCGAACCAGAGTGCTGCTGAAATTATGACACAGTCAGAAGGGCCATGTGGCTGATGGGATGTGTAAAAAAATATATATTTTATGTGGACGGAAATATACGGGAAGGAGGGGTAGCGTCTGCTTATTGATTTCATTAGAGTTACCAAACTCAGTCCTTTGCTTTTCAAATGCTATAGTAAAATCGTCATCATCATCGTTATCACGGTCAACATCGCCATCATGGTCATCTACATCGTCATCAAGGTCATCTACACCGTCATCATGGTCATCTACATCGTCATCATGGTCATCTACATCGTCATCAAGGTCATCTACGTCGTCATCATGGTCATCTACACCGCCAACATGGTCATCTACATCGTCATCATGGTCATCTACATCGTCATCATGGTCATCTACATCGTCATCAAGGTCATCTACGTCGTCATCATGGTCATCTACATCGTCATCAAGGTCATCTACGTCGTCATCATGGTCATCTACACCGCCATCATGGTCATCTACATCGTCATCATGGTCATCTACATCGTCATCATGGTCAACTACACCGTCACCATGGTCATCTACATCGTCATCATGGTCATCTACATCGTCATCAAGGTCATCTACATCGTCATCATGGTCATCTACATCGTCATCATGGTCATCTACATCGTCATCATGGTCATCTACATCGTCATCATGGTCATCTACACCGTCATTATGGTCATCTACATCGTCATCATGGTCATCTACATCGTCATCATGGTCATCTACACCGTCATCATGGTCATCTACACCGTCATCATGGTCATCTACATCGTCATCATGGTCATCTACATCGTCATCATGGTCATGTACATCGACATCATGGTCATCTACACCGTCATCATGGTCATCTACACCGTCATCATGGTCATCTACACCGTCATCATGGTCATCTACATCGTCATCATGGTCATCTACACCGTCATCATGGTCATCTACAACGTCATCATGGTCATCTACACCGTCATCATGGTCATTTACATCGTCATCATGGTCATCTACATCGACATCATGGTCATCTACACCGTCATCATGGTCATCTACACCGTCATCATGGTCATCTACATCGTCATCATGGTCATCTACACCGTCATCATGGTCATCGACATCGTCATCATGGTCATCTACACCGTCATCATGGTCATCTACACCGTCAGCATGGTCATCTACACCGTCATCATGGTCATCTACATCGTCATCATGGTCCTCTACATCGTCATTATGGTCCTCTACATCGCCATCATGGCCATCTCCATCGTCATCATGGTCATCTACACCGGCATCATGGTCATCTACATCGTCATCATGGTCATCTACATCGTCATCATAGTCATCTACAACGTCATCATGGTCATCTACATCGTCATCATGGCCATCTCCATCATCATCATGGTCATCTACACCGGCATCATGGTCATCTACATCGTCATCATGGTCATCTACATCGTCATCATGGTCATCTACAACGTCATCATGGTCATCTACATCGTCATCATGGTCATCTACATCGTCATTATGGTCATCTACACCGTCATCATGGTCATCTCCATCGTCATCATGGTCATCTACATCGTCATCATGGTCATCTACATCGTCATCATGGTCATTTACATCGTCATCATGGTCATCTCCACCGTCATCATGGTCATCTCCACCGTCATCATGGTCAACTACATCGCCATCATGGTCATCTACATCGTCATCATGGTCATCTACACCACCATAATGGTCATCTACATCGTCATCATGGTCATCTACATCGTCATCATGGTCATCTACATCGTCATCATGGTCATCTACATCGTCATCATTGTCATCTACATCGTCATTATGGTCATCTACACCGTCATCATGGTCATCTACATCGTCATCATGGTCATCTACATCGTCATCATGGTCATCTACATCGTCATCATGGTCATTTACATCGTCATTATGGTCATCTACACCGTCATCATGGTCATCTCCACCGTCATCATGGTCAGCTACATCGCCATCATGGTCATCTACATCGTCATCATGGTCATCTACACCACCATAATGGTCATCTACATCGTCATCATGGTCATCTACATCGTCATCATGGTCATCTACATCGTCATCATGGTCATCTACACCGTCATCATGGACATCTACACCGTCATCATGGTCATCTACACCGTCATCATGGTCATCTACATCGTCATCATGGTCATCTACATCGCCATCATGGTCATCTACATCGCCATCATCGTCATCTACATCGTCATCATGGTCATCTACACCGTCATTATGGTCATCTACACCGTCATCATGGTCACCTACATCGTTGTCATGGTCATCTACACTGTCATCATGGTCATCTACATCGTCATCATGGTCATCTACATCGTCATCATGGTCATCTACATCGTCATCATGGTCATCTACACCGTCATCACTGTCCTCTGCATCGCGATCATGGTCATCTCCATCGTCATCCTGGTCATCTACACCGTCATCATGGTCATCTACATCGTCATCATGGTCATCTACACCGTCATCATGGTCATCTACACCGTCATCATGGTCATCTACATCGTCATCATGGTAATCTACATCGTCATCATGGTCATCTACACGGTCATCATGGTCATCTACATCGTCATTATGGTCATCTACACCGTAATCATGGTCATCTACATCGTCATCATGGTCATATACATCGTCATCATGGTCATCTACACTGCCATAATAGTCATCTACATCGTCATCATGGTCATCTACATCGTCATCATGGTCATCTACATCGCCATCATGGTCATCTACATCGCCATCATCGTCATCTACATCGTCACCATGGTCATCTACACCGTCATTATGGTCATCTACACCGTCATCATGGTCATCTACATCGTCATCATGGTCATCTACACTGTCATCATGGTCATCTACATCGTCATCATGGTCATCTACATCGTCATCATGGTCATCTACACCGTCATCACTGTCCTCTGCATCGCCATCATGGTCATCTCCATCGTCATCCTGGTCATCTACACCGTCATCATGGTCATCTACATCGTCATCATGGT